TACCCGACCCGCTACCCGCACGGATATCCGCTTAAAAAATATCCGCGGGTATTTTAAAACCCGCGGATATCCGCGGATACCCATAAATATTAAAAAAAAATATATTTTAATAAATTATTAAAATAAAATTTAAATAAAATTTAAAAAAATATATAAAATATAATATAAATTAAATTAAATATAAATTTAAATTCAATTTTAATTAAATCTAATCTTGTAAAATATAAATTAATGTTAATTTTAATTAAATTTAACTTAATAAAATATAAATTAAATTTTTATTTTTATTTTTTGCGGGTAGCGGGTATCTGCGGGTACGAATAGTATAATACCTGTACCCGACCCGCTTATAAGTGGGTATTAAAATATCCACTACCCGCGGGTTGCGGGTAGCAAATATCCGCGGGTATCAACTATCCGTCGCGGATTTTATCCGCGGATATCCGCGGGCGTGGATTTTTTTGCCATCCCTACCCCCACTGTCACTTTCTCTCTTACTCTTAATTGCCACTTCTGTTAACACAAAATTTTACAAAAAAAGAAAATTTTGCATGGTATAAATTTAAAACATTTATAACTTCTAATGAGTTTTGAAGTATAATGATTCCATAATATAATCTGCTAAAAATTTCTTTCCCACTTCCTTGTCTTTAAATAACCAAACTTGAAAATCTATGCTTAAACTTGAAACTCTAAACCATCAGGAGATAACCCTTGCCATTGTAAACCAAACCGTTTAGGCCGCAGGAGCTGAACTTCTCTTCAATGACCACTAGATGTTCGGTGAATCTCACAAAATTTGAAAGGAAATGGAAAATGTTGTGTTAACAACGAAAGTGAAAATTAAGAGAAAGAGAGAAATTGACAGTGGAAAGGGGGGGGGGGCTTGCTGTTGAGAGTGAAAGGAAAAGTGAAAGTGAGAGAGAAATAAGATTAGGATTTTAAAAAATAAAAAGTAAAAAAGGTAAAAGTAAAAAGTAGAAAGAGTAAATTTGGAATTTAAAAAAAAAATTGGAGAGGTGTTGGGAGAATATGGGGTGGTGGAGGAAGCATCACTCAAAATTGACGTGTATAAAAAAATGACATTTTTTTCAAACTCAATCCGATTTGAATATGTGATAAGTCGGTTGGTCCACCGATTCTAATATATTTTGATAATACTAATTAAGAACTAAAATATTCATAAGAGAAACTTAGAAATATGTAATTCCCCACCAAAGTTAAGTAATGAGTATATATATTTTTTGTGGATCAATAAAGAACTAATATTCTCGAGGAATTAATTATGATTGAATTAGTGTTTTTGTGAAAATTACTCAATTACCTAATAACTTTCCAAAAATAACTTTTGATCATAAAAATATAAAATTGATTCAAGTTGATAAAAAGGAGATTCAGTGTATGATTGTTCTTCCAATTATAAGTCCTAAGTGTTGTATTGTTTATTATCTAAAGGCTTATAAAGACTTCACTTAATTTATATTCTATAAGAGTTGTTGGAAAAATTATTGAAAAGTCTTTTTTAAATGGTTGGCCAGTATAAAAAATATGTTCTCTAAAAGTTGTTTGAAAAATTATTAAAAGGTATTTTTTAAATTTGAATTTATATTAACATCCTTAATATATATATATATATA